TTCATGGGGAGAGAGGGAACATTTTTAGAAAGAGAGAATGTGAGATGAAAACCCATTGCTGTGTATGTTGGCATGCAGGCAGAACAGGAGAGAAATTCTGGTGAGATCGACAGACTGGCGAGCAGCGTCTGTTATCATATTTCATTCTGTGATAAAGCCAGGTGATAATGCAAGGGCTGTTAAGCTAGAGTGACATTTTGCTTTATCACATTGGGTGCAACAACTAAGCTGTATTTAGTGTGACTGAATAAACAGATAGCTGTCATCAAGGCGCAGATTATGTTAACAGGCATTCAGGGACAGAATTGGAGAACCAAGACTCACATCATGATGGGTTGTAGGCTTGTAGTGTAACAGTGATGTGCCATGTGGTATCCTTTGCAATTTATCTGGCTGGTTTTGTACCTTCAGTTGCCTTCTGAAGTGTATCAGGGCATCGCTTTCTTTTGTCCGTTTTTATTGGGGGGGGGGGGGTGGGTTTTTTTTTGTAAGACCATTTGCTTCAGTAGTGCTTCAGGGATGTTAGTTGCCATCATCTTTCTCTTCAGACCAAGGCAGTGAACAGCTCTACTTCTTTGTAGTGACTTATGTGTTGTGCATCTTCCTGGAGTTACTGTTATGGTACAACTATCATGGTGATTAAAATATCTGGTTTTTGAAGGGTCCTTTATTCTGTGCATTTGTCTTTAAAGATTTGTAAGTAGTTTTGTAGTCCAGGTTCCCATTTGGCATGTGTCACGACTCACTAGTGATAGCCGATACAGTTCTCATCAGAAAATTGGACCGCTGGTAATGTAATTGTCCTTGTATTGCATGTCCAAAATGTCTCTTTGGCATTGCAATAGTAAAACCAATTTGAGGGTTTCAAAACCTTAGATCCCCTAGACAGTGAAACCAATGTGTGATTTGCATGTAGAGTCTACTTTAGGGTGAACCGAATCTATTAGATTGCATAAACTGTATCAATATGGGTTAAAATGTGTTATTAGACCTCAAACTTTTTCCTAAATTTTGAACTGTCTTATCCTGTGCATCCCATTCCAGCTTAATAGCATCCTGTTATACTCTCAAGCAGAACTGCACTGGGTAGCAGAAACCACTGCTTATTTGTGAAGTATTGCAGAAATTCTTTTGGATCCCACTGTGCCAACAGCCAGGCAAATACGTAATGAAAACATAGTTCCGTCCCATAAATTCACAGTTGAAAAAGAAGCACAGTGTCAAGGGCTCTGCCTATAAAGAGAGTTCTGGTTTAAGCAAAGACGGCGTTTCACAGTTGCTTTAAGTCACAAAATTACCTTGTTTGAGCCCAGTCTGTTCCGTGATCCAATTTATTGTGGAGCTGTACAATTCTTACTCTTAATACAATGGAGAGAACAGGAAAACAAAATCAGAGTGGACTGAGAAGGAGGCTGCCTCTTCTGGCAGAATATCTGCATTTAGATGAGTTTAAAGGGACTGCAAAACTGTGGCCTTGATTGATAGGCCTTGACTTGTGGCCTTAATTAATAATCATTGTTATTGTAGGGTGAGGACTTTCTGGAGGAGCCTTAATCAGGTATGAATGCCTTTTTCCAGTGTAGCTTGTAGTGTTTGAGAAGGAATTTAAGCTAAATCAGAATCAGCCACTCCATTTGCTCTCTTTTGTCAGTAAGTTAGTGCTGGACATTTTGTTGCTGACATAACCATGCTTATATTTTATGGTGAAACTTTTGCACAGAGGTCAGGTCTTTGATAATGTATTTTTCAAATGTTGGCTAATAACATTTTTGCAAAGCTTATCTAGTCTAGGATTTTAGAGTGTCATGTGGCACTGTTTGGCTTGGCCTGAAGCATTCTGAAGAAACTGTAAATCAGACAGATACAAATCAGACACATTGAGTTTATTGAAGTGACTTTCGTTTCTTGTGATATGACATTCATTCAGATCATCTTGCCTCTTTGGCCAGATTTAGTCAAATCCTGAGTTTGGGGCAAACGAAGGAAGTGGTTTGGGGTTGTTTTTTATGGCAACCAAAAATGTTATCTTTCTGATAGGCATCTATACATAATGATTCATTTTCATAATTGCTCATTGAATCCACTGGCAGGCTCCTAGTAGGGTGCGCGTGTGTGTATGTATGTGTGTATCTGTGGCTCTCCATGGTTCAACTTGCATGTAGTAGCTTACATTATTGTTACCTGTCTCTGGTTTGTTAGAATAGCCTCCTCTGTTATTTCTGGGGCCTCTGGGGGTGTCCAGACCAGGGAGGAGACTTGGTTGATTTCCCCAGCTTAGTGTTTACTTGGCCTTTACATTTCAGTCGTGAGCATGTATGCTTCAAGCTAATGGAGCCAGAAGGAAACTGAGAGATGTAGAATCACAGAATCATTTTGGTTGGAAAAGACCTTTAAGATCATCAAGTCCAACCGTTAAAGTATCTCTGCCAAGTCCACCACTGGACAGAAAATACTTCCTGCCATTATGAAGATGCACATTTCGGCTCTCACGGTGGTGAGTGGTAGTGTTGTGTTAGGTGGCTGTGGCCATTCTGTGGAACATGCAAGGCACAGAGCAGAGCTCCTCCTGAGCTCACCTGGCCAGCAGGTGTGCAGCCTCTTGCCTCTCTGCTCAGACCTGTTCTGGGAGAGTGAAGCTCTCTCTAAATGAGAGCGTCTCAAAATTGTGGAGTACTGTTTTTGGTAATGGTGCAGTACCTTTTTCCTGCTTAGAAGCATATTTTGGGTTTCTGCCCCTCACCACTCAGATATGAAGGCTTCTATGTGTAAATACCAAAAGTGGGTACAGTATAAAAGGCTCATGTAGGCTTCCTGTACTAGACTCATCCTTACTGCATGCCACTTTTTATCAACAGCAGAAGTCTATGGATTGCACATCCTCTGCAGTTCAGGTTAAGTGAGGGGTGTAACTCATCTGACAGTCAAAGCTGTAACATCATCATGTGTCAGGAATGGAGAATGTGGTGTGAGCTTTCCCGATTCTGTTGCATCAGGAAGGCTTTTGTATTGGGATAGTTGTGGCATTGTGTCATGGTGATTGGGTTTGAAGGTAACTTCTAGTTTAATGTTTTTGGTGGTGACTGCCTTGTTATCTAGGATGAAAGTGCTAATTAAGTCAATTGTCATGTTTTTAGATTATTTAAACCTGTCTGTCTCTTTCACTTTGTGATGCTTGGTTAAAAATGGTTAGTTCCTTTCAGTGACATGTTATTCTTGCATAATACTATAGGCCTCATTTCTGAACAGCTGTATTCTAGGCATATTGTTATATGAAGCACCAACAGGTCTGAAGTAACTTAGTGGATTTCTTGGTATTGATAATAATGTAACCTTTGCAGGTTCTTGCCACTGTGTTCTCCTGGGGCTTGAAGCTTGCTTTCTTTTCCTCCTTTCTGAACAGTAAGCTCAAATCTGTCTGAAATAATGTAATAAGCATGTTTTGCATGAGGACTCACTCACAAATTAGCCTCAGTGTTGAATGTAGCCACCTTTCCTCAGACCCATTTCTGTGGTACTGCAAAATGTTTGGCTAATTTTGTGGAAGCTGTATGAAGGCACGTATGTAATCTCTGAATTTTATCTCTATGTTTGCAAATGTAGACTCTCTAAATTTCTCTGTGTTGTGATTCTTTATTTTCTTTTACTCTGTTTTGGAAGGTGACAGGACTAGTAAAGTGTTCATTGCTTCTTATCCAGGGTAGTATTAAAAAAAAAAAAAATTGGGTTACATGCTCTGAATATGTAAACATGTTAGTTGGGTGGTATGCTCTGTCCTGTTTGCTTCCACCCGCACGCCCACTCCTGATGTGCATGCAAAGTTCAATGTATACTTTGCAGACTGGCTGAGGTAGTGCATGTATTTTGTCTTTATGTCTTTGCAGCATTTTGTGCCATTCGCTTGAGAATTCCATGCACCTAAGTGCAGCTTTTACACTGTCTTATATTATGGCTTATGTACGTGAAGATGAATAGAGGCCTGAAGAATTTTTGGGCACAGGTTAACCAGGGGAAAATTGTGCTCTACATGGGTTATCTAGACAATGAAAATCTTCTTTCCTCTCAGTGCTCTAGGGATACTTTTGGGTTTTTTCTGCCTTCTTTTTCTTTCCAAATTTGTCTTTACCTGGTGGGCACAAATGAACTATGTGTCTTGTAGCAAAGCACAAGCCTGGAGCTGCAAAAGCCTGTTTCATGGCTAGAGAAGTAAAGAGTGTAAAACTGGAATAAACCCAAAAATATTTCTGTCTTAAGATAAGGCCTTTTTGGCCATTGTTTGTCATTTGTGCTGACAGGGCAAAAGAAGGTCAAGTGTAAAACAAGTCTGACTGGAAAATACTATCTTTTCTAAATTTCCTTTTCTGCCTTTTTTTTGAGAGATACTAATTTTCACTTCCACAGTTTTTTAGCTTTGCAAACTTTTTGTTTGCACTCATTTCATTTTTCATCAGTTGTGCAAATATCCAACCTGCATATTAGTAATTAAAGTTAATGGTATTCAATCCGCATTTGAAATTACACCAAAGTATTAATTTTGCATGTAGAAAATAAACTTGTATTCCTCACTTTGTTACTGACTATGAAGCAAGAAGGTAATTTAATTCTAATATTAGGATTCCTCTTCTGAAGAGTTTTCTTTTCTACCAATGTTTGCATGTTTGGCTGTGCCACATACATCAGCACTTACTCGAGGTGTGCTGTGCATTTAACTACCCCACGCTCGCTGCAGTGCCTCGGGTTACCCAAAGGTTGTGTTGCATCTTGTGGTGCTCCATACCCTAATTTAGCCTGACATGATGCTTAGACTCATCACGTTAGATTAGGTACAGTGCATGTGCCCATACACGAGAGGGTGTTTTTGTGCCATACAATTACCGTAGACTGGAGGAGTTGCTGTTAAATGTTGATTGTGATCGCAGTGTCGAAGCTTCTTGGGTCGGTGTGGTGGCTTCACACTGAAGGATATAAATCAGCAGCGCACTAACAACTTGTCTTCTCTCTAGGCAAGGTGACACAGGGGTCCTGAGGGAAAACCCACAGGAGAAGAGGGATCAGCTGGACCAGAATTTAGGCCACAAGTGGAAGGCATCTGTCAGACCTTTGCATGCACGAGAGCTTACAGTTCTGCCTCACGAGAGCCGGGGGAGGTCTGGGACGTTGCCTAGTGATTACCGATACTCTCAGGAAAATGTGAGCGAGAAGAGCAAGGATCACAGCCTGCCTCATCTCCCCTGCTCTGAGCCACAGACCTCAAACGAGAGCCACTCCTGTCTGTCCCGGGGAAAAGGAGAGGAAAACCATAAGGTAGAGCCAGCGCTGGTGAACAAGAAGCGTGGACCTGCTCCTCAGAGGCCACCGCCACCTAAAAGAGATAAATACAGGCGACCAGATAATTCTGCACCATCACTCGGCTCCTCTTCTGAATCCCTGCTGGTAGCGCCCAGCCGACCCTTCCCATCCTCATCCCCCAGCTCTGCCGAAGTGTTTGCCGGTCACTCCGCTCTCTGTCAGAGTCCTGCAGCTTTCAATGGAAAACTGAAGAGTGCTAATCCACAGCAGCTCCAGCAAACATCATCCACGGAGAATGTTTGTCAGCACTTAGAAGAAAAAACGCACCTTAGGTCTGAGCCTGTATTATCTTCCAAGTATCGGTATCTTCAGAAGCCTGGCATGGAGACATCAAGGTCCCCCTCTCCTCAGTTTGCACCGCAGAAGCTCACTGATAAACCTCCTGTGTCTGTACAGGATGAGAACCCAGCCAGGTACAAGATGTAACTCCTTTACTGTTTTACTGATTCTTTTTGCTCACTTAGGCCTTATTAATGGTTTACTATTCCTTTTCTTTACTATAAAGACATCCTTTGATTTCATTAAGCATGAGCCATCCCAGCATGTCCTGAAGAGACTTCAGATTAGTGTGACATTCCAGTTAGCACCATTAAAGTCCTTCAGCTGGTCTGTGGTTTCTTTTAGTCGACTGACGCTGCTCGGGTGTTACAGCTGGTAGTTAGCAGAAAATTAAAGGGATGGATTCAAATGTTTTTTCCACTGTAAGTCTGGGCAAAATGAGAAGAATCCCTCTCATCATTTTCTCCACTCAAGTCTGTATATGAACATGAATCAGTGTAGGGACAAAGCAGATGTTGGAAGGGAAGCTGTATCCTTTGTAAGAACGTGTTTTGAAAATGCATACAGTAAGGTACATTGCCAAATCATGACCGTTTTCATGTTGCTTTTATGATGTAACATGGCACTCCAGGTAGTCTGAGGAGGTGTCTGCAGCGCTGTTTGTGCTGAGGGGGGCTGAAGATGCAGCAGGAGAGCATCAGTCCTTTCCCAGGCTAGATAAACTGACTGAAATTTATTGATTGCTGTGTCTGTCAAATACTGATAACATCATAAAAGGTATTTTCCCACAAGATAACAAACTCTTCCAGGAAGCTCAGGAATCTTAGTTTTCATAAATCCTTCAGCATTATAATAAATGGTTATAGAATAAAAACAAAACCTCTGAGCTGAATAAATGCAGAGGTTACTTCTCTGAGCAAAACAAGTTGGAATAACTTTTCATAACTGTAATGTAAATGGTTGAATACGCTCAAACATGCTGTTTTCCAGTGTGCCTTATGACGTAGAAAATGTGAATCACTTTTTTTCCTACACACGCCTTGATGTTTTTGCTCTTGTAACTGGAGGAAAAAAATGACATTTCGAACTGCCATGTTTTTAATAGGAAATAATAATACAGTTTACTGTGAAAATTGCAACGTGAACCCTAGCGTCTATGTGCTAAAGTAGAGGACATTAGTAATTACTTCCTCAGTGTATTGCTTTGACTTCCTTAATCTAAGGAGGTATAGAAAGCTAATTGTATTTGTCGTTCATTTTTACTAAGCCTTAATATTGAAATGAGCACTGAGGTGTGCCTAATTATATGTCCATATCTGAAAGTTGCCCTAAAAACCTTTTGGTAACATTTAAAATTCTTAAGCCCAGACAGCTCTTATTTGCGCACAATGTGTTGTCCTCAGTTAATAATTACATTACTCAATAAAACAGGTATGGCAAAAAAGGAAAGGCATGCAGAGGTCATACCTCTGAACCGTCTCTATGGCATTTACTATGTTAGTTATTTAATACAAGTAAGATATCTCAAGTAGATTTCTCTTAATATGCAGTTAATTTGATTTGGCTTATTATTTCCGTTGACTCCTTGCATATGAGCTTTTGGGTATGCCACTTTACATGCTGTGGGCACCTAATGATGTTTGATGATGCTAGCGTGTAGCTGTTTACTCTTCTTTAAGAAAGGTGGCTTGTAGTTCAACAGGATAAACTGAATGAGTGTGTAGCATTTCCTGCAGGATTTTAGGTAGAGCAATGCAGCGTGGAGAAATAGTGGTGGTGTCCAGAACCCAGCTATTGCCAAATATGACTTCTTAGTGATAATAAAGATGAAAGGAGTGCGTCAGTAGATGTGCATAAATAAATTTGCAGTAAACATACACTCAGGTCAAGGAGTGACAGTGCCTGTGGTTGGAGTAAAGCTTTGTAATGGCCACAAGCAGAGTTACTGCAAATCCAAATTTCATGCTGCAGTTCCACAAATGGAAAACCTGCAGTCATCAGGACAATAGTGGCTGCAGAAACAGAATTTCGGAAGCACCTGGAGTTGAAATGTTTTTTGCTCTGAATGAAGCCAGTTGACTTCATGATACCTTAACTATCTGGAAAATCTTTTACTAGGCTGAGAGGAATGTACTCAGAGTCTCAAAACAGGTGCTGGGGTGGTGAGGAACTGGAATGGGTTGCCCAGGGAGGTTGCTGAAGCCCCGTCCCTAGAGGTTTTTAAGGCCAGGTTGGATGAGGTTTTGTGCAGCCTGGTCTAGTGGTGGGGTTCCCTGCTTATGGCAGGGGGTTTGGAACTTGATAATCTTTAAGGTCCCTTCCAACCTTAATGATTCTATGATTTTAGATAAAGAATTGCAGTTAGCTCAGTTCTTCTCTTCCAGTTGCCCTACGCATGCTTATGCACACATCTTATATTTCCCGCAAATTAAAAAATGTGTTCCTCTTTGCAATGTGTGGAGTCCAAAAAGTGTGGGCTTTATTTAAAAACAAACAACAGAAAGTGTCAGAGGCAGTGGCAGGCCTTTGCCAAGCTTTGCTGCAGCCAGCAGAGCCCACTCCTGCAGGCAGGGAGCTGTGGCTGAGTGGTGGACATGGGAGTGAGGTCTTTAGAATGACAGTCACCCTGAATGAATACACCTCAACTGAATAGGAGTGGGGGTCAGCAGGGGCTGGAAAACCTGCCTCAAAAGTTGGATCAGGATGCCAAAGCATGTCTACAAAGCCCTTGAGGAAAGTAAATACCTATTGAGAGATTGCACATTCATTCAGAAGCAAATATACCTTTAAAGTATAAGATACAACTTCTGGAAAATACAAAGTTAAACAGATTTGGCTATTTCCTACAAAGAAAAGTACAGCACAATAAAGTATAAGTGTATTTTTAAGGAAAGTGACACACCCACACTTAGAGGAACAGAGCCATAGCATGTCTTGGTCACTTATCTGAAAGGCGGCAAGCATCCGAGCCAGATGAAACCAGATATTTTAGGTAGCAGGCAATGTTCCTTTACTTGCTGTAGAGCTTCCAAACCCACATTATGACAATAATTTTAAACTTTCTGCAAATTCAAAACCACCAAACTAGACTTCAGTTTCTGGTATGGTTTACATGCAGTACAGATGTTTCAGTAATGTTATTTAACATGTTGTTGTCCAGTTTTAAAATTCAAGTGGTGTCCTCTTTAAATAGCTTGTATTACTGAATGTCCAAGGTGGCCCTTTGTGCTATGCAATACTTAATTGTTGCTCTAAGCTTCCCTTAAAGAGGGTATGCAGAATTGCGTGTTATTCTCTTCAGTCACTGTTTTTTATTTCTTTATGCAGAAAACTGGAACACTACGGTGAGATACATATTTATTAAACTTCCGTGTCTGTGCAAAATTTTACAAATACAGATATATAACTAATGTAATTAAGTTTTGAATTATTTCCAGGTTTCCATGTGTGATTCTGTGTTACTCTGGTAGCTCAGCAAAGGCCTAGCCTGCAGTATGCTTCCATCTGGTCTGTTGTCTCTTCCCTTGGAAGAATTGAGAATTGATGGGAGGGAATCACAAACTCCCTGAGCAGCTAAGCCGCCTGTCACGCCAAAAGCTGAGGCCACTGTTGGATTTGTGTGAGGCAGTGAGGTTGAGCTTAAGGCGTGTTTTCCTTAGTATGTGTGGCAGCAAAGGGGTAAAAGGCAGTTCAACAGCACCGTCTGAAATCTGGAGTCTGGCTGCTGTGATTGGGCCCACGTGTTCATGGAAGCAAACAGGTCCTGTACTGTGAGCGTTGTGCAAGGCTGGTGTTAGGATTATGTACAAATTAACTAATGCTACTTAAAATGTGTGAGCAGGAAAGATGTAGATTTAGGGTTTGAGGTACGGTGAAAGGAATCTTCCGTTTCCTAGATCTCCTATCTGCCGCTTTTTCATATTTGGGCTTCCCGTCTGATTTGCAGATAAGAATTGAGATGTAAGGTTCTTCCATGTCTGAAGGTCAATTTTCCTTATTTTCCAGAATTGAAAGGGTTATAGACAACAATACTACGGTGAAAATGGTTCCCATCAAGATAGTTCATTCTGAGAGCAGTGCAGAGAAGGAGAGTCGGCAAAGTCTTGTCAGTACTATGGAGCCTCCTGCTTTACCCAGTGGTTTGGAAAAGGACCAGATCAAAACACTCAGCACTTCTGAGCAGTCCTATTCACGATTCTGTGCTTACACCAGGCAAGGTGTAGAGCCAGAGCCAGAAGCCAGAACCAAACCAGCTGGCCCTCAAGCTGCTGAAGAACCTGTAAGCAACTTAAAGGACAGCAGTGCTGCTGCACCAGCAGTCAGCTATGTAAAGGCCAAAGAGAAGACCTTTGAAGACTGGAAGTCAGAGGAGCTTGCCAGAGAGATTGTGGGAAGAGATAAATCTCTAGCAGACATACTAGATCCTAACGTGAAAATAAAAACAACGATGGATCTGATGGTTGGAATATTCCCTAAAGATGAACACCTCCTAGAAGAAGCTCAGCAGCGCAGAAAGCTTCTTCCAAAAGTTCCTTCTCCAAAAATTTCAGAGGAGAAGTGAGTATTACTTCCTGTAGGCCATTGATTCCTTGTAAGCTGCTGTTAAGTGTGTAAGTGTGTCAGTTTTCCTAGGGGGCTGAAGGTGAGGATCTTCCTACTGTGGAGGTTTGATGCTTTTCTAGAGCTCTTCAATTAACATAACAGCTAAGCATAATACTGCTAATTGATACCATTAATGACAGAAAAAGAGCAGTGTTGTACAGTAAAGTTTCCTGAGACCTGATTAAAAACTATTTCTGTGAGAACATAAATACTAACTTATCCCATTTCATAGAGATTAGATATTTACCAAGATTATACAGTCTAGTAACTGGATAGAGAAGGAGCCTTTTTTATGTGATGAAAATTTACAAGACAACTTGAAGTGAGCATGAGGCATTTCCTGTAAGTGTATGAGAACAAAGTAAGAAAAGTTTTAAATTCCATTAAATTCCATCTCTGTTGATGTTCTGTGAGTCTTTTGTTTTCTTGATATGAGTCATCAAATTAAGTTGTAGCTTTCTTGTGAAGTTCATGTGCAAGTCCATAATCAAAAAGATAATCACATCATAGTATCTCACATTTGGCAGTCTGAAGGGATACTCTCTGTGACACTGAGGTCTTTGCACTACTTAGTAAAATACAACTTCACATTTTGTTTCCAGCTGAGATATCTGAAGTCCATTTCACTCGTTGCAATGGTGAAAGGTCTTCTGCACTACTTGAGTTTTAGTTTTTGATGGGCATGTGCTAAGTTCACACAAATTTTCTTCACAAGCAGTATTTATTTATTTATCCCACTTTCATAGATAATGGCTTTCTGTTGTACCCTCTGCTTGCTCGGTGAAATGGTGGCTCCAAAAGAGTGTCCTTTCTTTTCAGTAATCAGGGTGTCAAGGCAGTTAATGAACGTTTTGACTTTTTACCAGGAAAGAGGAGCAGAGCACGCCGTCTGCCATCTCCTTGACAACAAATTCTACTTACTACAGCACATCTGCACCGAAGGCAGAACTGCTGATTAAAATGAAGGACATGCAGCAGCAACAGCAAGAGCAGCAGAGCAAGGATGATTCGGAAGACGAGCTGGATCATGACTTGTCAGAAAAGAAGGTAAAAGATATTTCTAAAAGCGTAATGGGAGGCTTTCAATTGCATGCATTGTATTGACTGTGAATTTGCTAGGTAAACATCTCTATTAAAAGGCCTTCTAGATGTACAGGATCACTTGGAAAATTAACCTGTTGTGTTTTTTTTTTAAGCAGGATGGGAATGCTAAGTGTCCAACTGTGAATTTAGGAATGTCATATTAAGTACTATTTGCAGCTTGATACATGTTCTGTAAGGTCCCAGGGGGAGAAGTTTTGAGGTGGTTATTTTCAAATACTGTTATCCGTTTGAGATTCCGGTGTATTTCTCTCACTTGCAACATTCAGGGAAACAGTGCTTGCATTTACCACTGTAACTGATGGCGGTTTTATTTGCTTAATATTTTTGAAATTTAGATCCAGAATTTGGGTTTGCTACGAGAGAGGAGTACATAGATCTCCACCCCTGTTTTTTTGTAGGGTTTTTTTCCCATTTTCTTTCATGAGCAGCAAACCACTTTGCCTTCTGTTTCTCCGAACTGGTAAATTAATACAGGTAGTGGTGAGAGATAGCTTGGTGAATTCAATGGAAGTTGCTTATTACAGGGGAAGCAGTTTTCTCCACTGTTGTTCATCACCATCTTTTGGTGTTTCATTTCTGATCTAAGATCAGCATAATCCCCTGGCTATTAAAATAGTGACATAATGGTATTTCTGTGGTTTGAGAAAGTGTTGTTAAGTTAAAATCAGCACACTCATCTCATTAGTGATTTGGCACAAAATATTTTAATCATAGTTTCCAGTATGAATAAGCTGGAGTAAATGGTCTGTTTGATCAATTAAAGTGGTGTCATTTAACTGTCTTTACCTGACCAAGTAATGCAATGGTGTGCAAATCTTTTCTGTTAAAGGCTGATTTCTGCTTAATAATCAACTGCCAGGGTGCATTTGGTAATCCAGCTCCAAATAATTGTCTTTTAACTGTACATTAGGAATATATTTTGTGGCTCTGAACGGGTGATTCCTTAAGGGATTCCCGCCTCTGGTTCTGTGCAGGAATGGATGGTGTTGTATTTGAGGTGGCTGTAGTGTTTCCTGTTACTGCTCTGGGTTTATTTTTGTCCCTTGTCCCTCCCTCCCCCCTCACTGCATCGCACAGTTCAATACAGTGTGTGCTTCCAGAGGCATGGTCATGTTGCGGGAGGAGAGCTGCCCTTTCCCGCTTGCCAGACAGCTGCTGAATTCAACAGCTGTGCTACTTAGACTAATTAAGGATTTCACTGCACTTGCACTTGGAATCGTTTGGTTTTATCTGGTGCCATATGTGATGGTCATGTTCATTGTTTTTGCTAGAATTAGTTTCCTTCTCATTAATTATGGAGCAGATGTATGGTGGGGGGGTGTTAAAACTCAATGTTTCTTCTTTGTCCAACAAACTAAACACTCAAAGTTTTAAAAGCAAAACTGCCATTTATATGTGTTGGTGTCTGTTAATAGGAAAATCGTGTTCACCCTTTAGATACTTCTCCCTTCATAACCCCAGTTCTATTATTACACCACTAATCATATGAGATAGGAAATATTTAATGAAGAGCATTTAGCAGAGCTCCCGTCTTCTCTGAATATGCACGCTGTTGTAGCCATGCAGACATTGCTGCTCATTTCTCTCCCTGCTCTTCCACATGCGGTAGGGATGCAAGCACTCAGTTCAGTGGGCTTTCATCTTGGATCTTGTCAGAAAATGTATAAAACTCATGGTAAGTGGGTCAGGGCATCTTTATAAAACAGCCAGAATATATTACTTGGCCTAGCTTCACGTACTTGGCAACAGTTTAACAAAGAAGTATTAAGGATCTGAGCAATTCAATAGCACACTTATGACTTCAGTTCTTTTAAATGAGAACCTATTCCTTGAATCCTAGAAATTGGTCAGTTCTGTTACAAGATACCTTACTTGCAATCCACTGTGAAATAATTGTAATATTTGTCATTCTCTCCTTTGCAAACCAGAAACATGTGGTGCTTTTTTTTTTTTCTTTTGAAATAAGTATAGGAATTTCATATAGAGTTTTTTTTAATTTGGGACGATCCCTATATTCCCAGCCAGCAGGAA